TACAATCTGATTAAAATCATCTGTTACATGGCTCCGCCTGAACATCTGAATGTGCCGCGGTCAGGGTCACGTTCAAGTGACCTTTAGATGAACCAATCAGAGGCGCGCTGGCAAAAGTTTGCCAGCGAATCGGAATATCATGGTTGATTAATAAATAGCGAGGGGTATCGAACAGATTAGTTTCCAAAACGAATATGGCGGCGGGAACTGACGTTTCTACGACGCCAAGGAAAACGTACCCATTGGGTAATAATTGCGTAGGCAACACCACCATACAGTCTTTCTTCTCTAATAAAGCTCCGATTTTTATTCTGTTCGGGTTTCAGACGATCTCAAATAACTTCAGAACTTTCGCATCATTCTCATCAATGTCCGACATATTTGTTACATCTCCGAGCGCCCTTTTGAAAGAGGGTCTCTGATTGGTCAAAATTTAATGAGTATTTATAAATATAAAGGTCACCTGAACGTGACCCTGACCGCGGCACACTCAGATGTTCAGGCGTAGTACGAAGTTAACGAAGCCATGTAACATGTGATTTTAATCAGATTGCCTAAATGGTGAACATTAAGCAGATCCGCGCTATCACAAGGACACACACATTCCCTTCCTCCAGCACACATACACACATTAAAAAACAACAACTTATTGTAATCCATTAGCCATCTTTATTCATAAAAAGTTACATGCTTGTGTGTGTATCTAAAAAAGAAATATATATCTGTAAATAAGGATGTGTTTGAGTGAATATGTAATGTATGTACCGAGCAAAAATACATATATGTATTTGTACTTTTTATCAATCCCTGATTAGATATTTTTATACTTGTCTGTGGCCTCAATCAGATAGTGAAGTATGCCAGGGTCTTTTGAAGAATGCCCCGCGTCAGGTACCACATGGAAGTCAGCATCAGGCCATATCTGTTTAAAACATAGCAATAAAACAAATATGCGTCAGCACAATGTCACAAATAGAGAGCAATAGATTTAAATAGCAATACATAATCATATCATTCAATATCATATTGTTGAAGTTATACACCTTTGAATCTTATTATCGAAACTATTGTATTTTGTATCGGGGTTCAGCGTCCGTGTAACAGCCAGGTCCATATGAAGACCCTGCACCTATGTGGATTCATCGCCGGAAGAAAAAAGTAAAAAGGACAGAATGCAAAACAGGAAATATAAGAAACGAAAACAAGATTCGAAGTGTTGAATGAGAACAGTAGATAAATTTTACTCTTTTTCCTTGTTTTGCTTTAGTAGAAGACACGCAAGAAAACGAAAAAAACATGTTTCTGCAAGGGGCCCCATATAAGCCGTCTCACAGTTTATTCCTTCTTCATAGGTCTCCAAGACGAAACCATCCCGCTTAAGTGGGGTGTATACGAAGCGAACACTCGGCTAGCGAAGATGTGATTATGCAGGCCGGATAAGGTTTGAGGAGGGTGGGGCGGGGGCGGGCATTAATCGCTTCTTACGATCATGCAGTGAGATACAGCAGGTATATTCTTTCCCTTTACTTTTGTAGTAAAGAGTTTCAAATAACACTGTTGGAAAAAAAGATAAGGTGTTTTAGAATTCTATATTCCGACATATGCCATTATAGTAAAATTCAAATTGCTGAGCCACTGGACCCATCCTATATAACCTAATTGATAATAATCATTCAATGTTCGCGTTCTAGGAAATCCGTACCTTATGAAGTAACCAGGCCGTTTCCAAAGGACAAACTACATTATAGCGCCCTTGAACAATGGTTGCGGGAATATGTCGAATTTTCTCCACACCTTCCAAAAGTTAAGCATCTGTTTTGAGCCATCCTCCATGTACACAGTAATAGCTAGAACATCCGAAGAAATACTTTAACGATACAAAATCTGTGATAAGCAACGAGATCTAAGAGGGTATTGCTACTTTATGGAAGCATCCTTTCAACTGATCTGTATTCGATGTCTCATACATGTATATTTATAAATAATTTCACACCGCGAGTTACCAAAGATTTTATTATTTCAATACCGGTTGCCCAGTATAATCACTATTTAAGATAAAAGAGCTGAATAGCACGCAAGAAAGTGTTTTGCTATTGAAAAAAGGAAGTATAGTTAATGCAAGATAGAACCATTTGTTAATACCTCCATGTGCGAGTGCCTGCCTATTTACTGCAAATATATTGATTATCTCGTTTGCGGTGAAACCGTGCTTCCAACGGTACCCTTTTCCATGGTGTTACAATGTAATACATATATTACAAATTATACAAATACATATACATTTAAGTGCAAGCTTGCTCACCTCAGGTATGGGGTCTTAATAGTCCTCTCATTCGTCAGGAAAGAGATGATTGACTCCGTCCTGGTTGAACCAGATATTCTCCCGTCTAAAATACAAGACAGTTTACTCTTTGAAACAGATGTTACCAAATTAAATCAACTATACGAGCAAAACGCAACAACTTCATATGTTCTCCCCTGAAAATAGTCTCTTTCATTTAATTACCTTAACATTTCAATTTGTTTATCTCTCTTTCATAAATGTATTTTTGTAAAAGGAGGCTGAAGCTTGATCAAACAAAACTCAATGCGTTAATAGTTTTTCTGCACAATATCAATACAGTGAACAAATACGAAAAAAATGTTTTCGTGCATAGGGGGCCTAAACAAATACAGTTTAAATGTATCAACAATGCCGTAAGGATTACCTGGTTAAGGCAAAAAATCCTCTCAGGACAAGTGCTTTTACACGACCTGGATACGTCTCAACGTAGGCCAGAGCCAACGTTGACCCCCAGCTCCCCCCAAACACCACCCACTTGTCAATCCCCAGGGTTTCCTCAGACGCTCTATTTCCTCCACCAGAGCCCGGGATCATGAAACGGACTTAAGTCTAAGACAAAATTTGAACTTAAGTTTGAAGTTTTGACTTAGCGAAGACCAAAATCTTAAGTGGATCATGAAACGTGCCAAGCAAAATCTTAGCTGAGACTGAACTTAGTCAAAATTTATTCGGTGTCAAGCACATGCGCGCGCCGAATTGGTAGCAGAGTACAGTAGCGTACGGTGGCCATTGGTGATATTTTTATACAATGAATAACCCCTGTAATATTACATGTATCAAAATTTAAAAAAAAAATCAGCACTAAAATTGGCATATACATGATGAAGTGGACTATGTGGGCTTCATAATTTTTCAAAATAAAAAATCGAATTTGGTTTGAGACTACAATTTTGGACATTTACAAATCTGTGTCTACACAACAAAAGCTAGCTTTTCATGTAGTCTTATTTTGTACTCAGCACATGTGTAAATATTGTGAAAAATCCACCGGAATGACCTATGCTAAAACGTGAGTATTTCTGTTACCGAGTAGGCGATATTTAATTTCAGACAGGTTTTAAGAAAAACAATTCTACTTTCGGGGGTCAAATTCTGGGTTAAAAATCATGTTTTTTTGCATATTTTGGTGTTTTTTGATGTGGTAACCATGGTTTTCAGAAGTCCCAAATCTGGGGAAATCACTTTTTGAAAAAAAAAAATGTTCTTCTAAAAAACACCTATTCAAAATGTAGTTTACAAATATATATATATATGTAGGTGTGTTATGCAGGATGAATCCGCTATCCATGTTTATCCGAGACATGCCCTTTATTTTTAGGGTCAAGCCATTTCTACTGTACTCTGCCACCATTGCGTATTTACGGTATTTATAGGAACTTTTCAATGCGGGAAACTACGTTGTTGTCGGCAAATATAAAAACAAAATGGAGAAAAGGAAGATCTTGATCTTGATAGCGAGCGCAGCGGGCTCTTTTTGTATCGTATGCGTGGTATATATACATAGTTCAAGCAAAAATCTATATATAGTAACACAAAACCAAACTACAATACTATGCGATCTTTTTTCTTTACATCGTGCAGAACGGATTTTAAAATTTGCGACGCTCTGGTTATTAATAGATCAGAAGCTAAAAAATCACCGTTTTAAACATCTCTGTGCACAGGTAATAGACACAACATATCCTATGCCTATATTCTAATATGTAATTACATATTAGAATATAGGCATATGATATGTTGTGTCTATTACCTGTGTCTCTGTGGGTATAGAAACTATGTTTCACATCGTAACTTATTTGTGTGAACTTTGCAAACGTATTCGTTATTGTTTGAAATGTTTCTTCGTTAAAACGGGTTTAAAAATTTAAGTTTTCGACATTTTTGACGAATCAGGTTAAGCAATAAAAATATATTTGCCACATTCTGATTGGTTGAGAAGACCGGAATAGATCAACTTCGCCGGTAGTCTCGACTACTTCGCCGGGAAATAGGAACACGGGAGGATAAAGGCCAACTCAAAGGATCGACAAGAGTAGCTACGGAGCGAATTTAACCAGTTTTGACCTTTCACAGACAGGTAATATGTTTGACTCTTAGGTCTACTGATTTCAATGTGTTTGTCACTCTATCAGCTCCACGAAAGCTAGGCCTGTGCAAGTCTAGTCGGTTTCAGTGCAAAGGAGACGTTATCAACGACAATGCTGATGTGCCGCCTGGGGTGTGTACTAATTCCTGTAGGAACTCAGAGATCAGAGATTTACAACGATAGATTTAAATCTCTGATTAAGAAAGAGTTCCTACAGGAATTAGGGTATGTATGCGCATAAATGTGTACTTTTATATGGGTAAGTGAAATAATGCTTTGTCAGTTCGTGTCGGTGTCACAATATGCCCCCTCCCCGAAGCATTTTCACAAATGCAGATTTGCCAACCTATTGTTTCTAACGTTACATAAATATGCCCCCTAGGTAAAAAAAAAATACACTTGAGTGTCAATCATCTTTTGAGTTCTTTTTGATGAAATCATTAGGTCTTGTACTCGAGCAGAATAAGTTTATTGGCTGAAAATGGTAAATGTCAAATGTGTCGCATTGTATGTACAGTAATAGCTTCTAGCTTCATTAATTAAACATCCATGTAAGAAGATTTTCAACACTGTAAATATTTTTGAGAAATCTTGTCTTAGAAATTAAGGAAATATATATATATACATTATAATTTTTAAATATTTCAACATAAAACAAATGATATTCAAGAACAAAGCAGCCTCAAGATTCATTAAATGAGTCATCATCATCATCATCATCTTCCATTAAGTGACAGATCTCCTTGATGGAGTGCAATTGTCACTGTGAGAGGTTCCTAGAGGTGGCAGTTAAAAGTGCCATTATTATTACCAGGGTTTTGTCAGCTATTTTGGGAAAGGGTCCCTGTCAGTAGGAATTCGGAAAAATAACATCGGCATTTGGCAAAAATTGGGAAATTTCATCAGTGTCCCCCGTTAAGGGAAAAATTTACTTTTGATAGAATAAAACCTACAATGTGATTTGCAAAAAAACTCATCTAGCTGTTTCTTACTGTAATACAGAAAAATGTATAGCAATAAATAAACACATCATTTTTCAGTTTTTTTGGTGATTCAATTTCAAATTCTTGTTATTTCTGTACATTTTTTTTTACATTTTGAATGAACAGTGTGCATATCATATATGTGTGATATGATATAATGACTGGAAACTTGTATGAACATGCTTTTAAATCCAATTGGGAAAATAAAGACTGAAATTGGGAAAAAACAGGGTCATATTCTAAATATTGTAATGGATCACTTTAACAGACCCTTTAATTAAACACCTGGCAAAAACTCTGATTACATAACTTATTTCTTGCACCTGTGCCTATGTGGTCTCATTTGATGACTAAATACTGGTATATGAGATAAAATTTAAATACATTGTATGAGGGTTATAGCAGCGACCTCAACTTTGACCTGATAAAATTGTGAAATTCTTGGTCCTTTGCACATTTATATGTATCGCACTGTATCACTATGTAAAGTTTTAGAAATTTCTGCCTTTTTTTGGAGTCCCAAAATAATCTCTGGGAACAAAAGTGCTGAAAGACAGACAGACACTGTGATTATACTATAGGGCACTAATGAAAGAAGGTTTGTAGAATTTCATATTGCCAATTGTTTGTCAAAAGTATAAAAAAAAACCACACCAACACCTTCTGTTTATGCAAACTTGAGTCCCCTTTGTCCAATGATGCTCTAGAACAAATTCAGTTAATATCCTTTTGTACAAAATTATTTTTTTTCCTTTATTTCCTCTATTGGGCCCCACCCCTCTGCCAATATATATACTGGCCATATGAGCTAAAATTGGTTGACAGCATATACATAAATATTATAACCACATGAAATTTTTCAAACTATGAGAATGAAATGTTAACAAATCATTTGCAAAAGATACAATTGTTTAATTGTCACTCAATGCTGAACCAGAATTACGTGGAGCAACATGTTGAGATATAATTAAACTTTAGATACAATCAAATCTTCACACCTGCCTAAGTTTGCAGAAAGTTGCAGAATTCATCATAATAATAAATAAATTGTAATGTTTAAATGTGCTTGAAATATCGCCAACACCAGTCACAGAAAAAAAGGGACTTTAAAAGCTTTATCTGGAAGTTTGCAATAATAAAATATTGTATATTACAAATTTGTGTCTTGTTGTGACAGGTAAAATTAATATATTTTAGAGAGGAATTAATAACAATGTTTAAACATTTTAAAATAAATTTTAACTATCATTGTACAATACCAGAAAGCTAATAATATAACATGTCAGATCTATATCTAAAATTGCAAATTAAAAAAAGATGTGTCTTGTTGCATTGGTACAGGTAAAATCACTGAATTAATGCTATGTTATTATATAATTAAAGTCATGCATGGTTAAATGATGTTATTTTAGATAGTAATATATATAAGTAACAATGTACATGTACAAATGTACATATTTTCAAATGAACTTTAACTGTCATTTTACAATATCAGAAAGCTAATAATATCAAGTGTTAGATCTATATCCAATTGTAAATTAAAAAAGATGTGTCTTGTTGGTACAGGTAAAGTCACAGAATTAATTAAAGTCCAGGGTTTATCAATGCTAATTTAGATAGGAATAAATTACAATGTATGAATATTTTCAAATGGACTTTAACTGTCATTTTACAATAACAGAAAGCTAATAATATTACATGTTAGAAATTGGACAAAATGTACCCAAAGTGTTTAAATACTTATTATACATAATCTATAAAATCTACCCGTTTCCAAAGGGTCAACAGATGACCCTTGGGTAACATGGGGGGAACCCAGGAATTAATTTTGGGTGTTGCCCAAAATTTTAAACTCAGAAAAAAGACAAATTTTTGCACTTATCTAGAACGAATAAATTAGAATTTTCATGTCAGTTGTACATGAAGGCTACATTCTGGCACCAAAATATATAGAATTTCATTATTTCT